GTACATCGAATTACCTGCAGGGAGATTTCATGACTATCCATTCGAATTATTGCAGTTACTGTAAGAATTGCGTTTTCGACCAATTATCATGCCCTTGACTCGTGACATATACAACTGTACAGCCGATCAGCTGTGTGGCGAGTAAATTTATGTGAACCATGAATAATATGGGCAGCACGATGGTCTAGCGTAGTTATATGGAAGAATGCAAGATTGATTTCCATGATACTTTATGCTTGGATCCTTCACCATGGATCCTTTCCCGAAAGATAGCTGACAAAATATTTTTTGCAGAGTGGGTCTTAAGATGAATAGCATCTTCAAGCTTACTTTTTAAAACTTTTTGAATTATGGTTTGTTTCTGATTATTAAATAGATTGGGATACGGTAAATATAATACTGGGCCATGTGACTGAAGAATGTTTTCTCTCATTTCGGTTAATCACGATCGTCTTTTGGTAACTCAGTTGGAAGTGTCGGACTCACAGCTGAAGAATTAAAAGTTAAAGTCATGGCGGGGTCACACATCTTTCATTCCTAGATAAACGAAGAATGCTACATTGATTACCACTTTGTACGAAGGAAGGTTGACTTTATGCTTCCCTTATCCGTTGATATTGCTATCAGGAAAAATAAGTCGCCCCTGACTGACTGGTCTCACCTTGAAATCAACACTGCATCATAAACTCTGGTAAAAACAAGCACCACAAATCCATCATGGAATTGTAAGCGATGTTGATATCCCACCGATTACATGGCTTCTTTCGTCACCGTTGAAATGAACGTTAGCTTGTATCACATGCCATTTTCAATGCATGTTTCGTCAATGATGTGGGTAATACTAGATTGAGAATATTAATTCATGAATTTCTCTATATTCAGTATTCAGAATATGAATTCAAGACTGCTTTCTTTGAGCAGTCGGTCATGATACCAGTAATAGTCTGTTTTAACGAAATATTTAAGGCAACAAAGGGAATTGGATTTATTTCAAAGCTTTCCTAAGAACAGTGATTTGAGAGTAAACTTAGTAATTGTCGCAGCAGAAGTAACTGTTGCATGTCTATTGTAATGTATCTGAGATGAAAATTTTTTTTGTTTTACTACCACTGAATTTTCTTAAAGGGTAGGTTGCTGACGTATAGAAAAGTGCCATTTCAAGAATCACGTAAGAACACATGCAGTAAAAATGTTTCTGCTTTTCCGCAAATTGATATCATTTAATTATTCTATGGTCCCTAGCAAATAGCAGTTATGCACATAAAACGTATTTTGTAAGGCTGTTGTAGTCATCTATCTTTTAAAAGGGATTGTGCTTTAGGCAGTATTTCCAATGTGTGTGCATAAACACAATAATGCTGCTCGTTTTTTGCGCTTGTTAAGCTGGTTGTTTCAGGTAGAAGATTCTAATTCCAACGAAAAAGACGAGCAAAACTCTGTGTTCGACGTTTTGCGAAACAGTGCCCATCAAATAATCAGGATGCTTCCTGGTGGCCTTGATGTGGTAGGACTTTTCACCGAAGGTACCAAAGCTCAGCTAAAAGATGAACGTATTCCCATAGCACGGGTTTTGAAGTACATTGCCAAAACGTCATTGATTTTGAACAATTGTGGGAGAAGTGACTCAGCACCCCCTGCAAGTTATCCTATGCTTTTTATGCGCTTGGAACCATATTCAACGAAGCCGGACATTCAGACATTTCGTCCTCTTAGTCCATCGCTGCTCCCCTCCTCAGTAACCTACACGTTGCAGAAGCTGCGATGGGTGTGCTGTGAGAGTCGTTTGAGTTTTGATGAGTCATTGATCATTCCACAGGCCCTTGAAGACAACAACTTTCACAAACAGTTCATCGGATCCATGCGCGACTTCTATGTTCGTTTGGATGCTGCTGAAGCTCTTATTGATGGCCGCTTCCTCGAAGGTCACGAGGTGATTTCGATAAAACGCAAAAACGATCCGGATTCTGATTCGGAGATGGTCGAGAAACATATTTTTCAACTACTCTTCCCCGAGAAGGTTATCAGCTCTTCGAAGCAAATCGAAGAAGAGGCAGTTGCTGGAATCATGAGGCTTAAAGGTACACTTTGACCGTTATTTTCAGTGTTTCATCGAAACATTAAAATACATATGTAGATGCTGATGCTAGCTAGCGGTTTATTCATGTGTACCTTTCAAAAGAAAGGATACATTTTTTCCTGTTGATTCTGTGACGTGTACATGCAATTAGTGCCCATTCTGTTTTTGACAGTCAACTGCAGGTTATGTCGAATTAGCTTCAGTGATGTAGTAAATCGTCGTTTTCACGAAAGAACTTAGATTAATAATTGGTAATTAGGTTTATCTGCAAATATTAAGCATTCAATGATATTTTATTGCGAACATAAAAGTTCCTCTTATTTTGAATCTGTAATGTAGTCCTGTATATCTAAGTTTTTAGACTTTATAAATCATATCATTCCTGCTGTGAAATTCTGTGCTATAGAAGTTGCTTGCAGATATCAGACTTTCTGAGCAATAAATTGATTTAAAGTCGATTTTTTAAGGTACCATGGTTTCAAGAGCATACGTATTGAGCAGCAGTTCTGCTGCTACGGCATTAACTGCATTAAAGACGGACATCCGGCGGAGCATCTATGTGCGAAGCGAGCTGCATTACGAAGGCATGCTTGTTATGGAGGAAGAAACCGAGACTATGACTTTGCACCAGTTTCCTCGCAGAGCTTTTGCTCCTCTGAGAAGTGGAAGGGTGCCCACCGTCTGCGACTATCTCTTCGAAGGAGATGATGGAAGCGAAATAGTACTTGCTATGAAGGACCTTCTCAGTGTCACTGTCAGTAAAGAGAAAGTGGAGAGTGACCTCGAAAGTGTTCCTGATGACCTCGTTTCTCAAAAGCTCTTTCCAGCTTCTGACTTAGAAGATCGACAGAACAGTTTTGCCGAAGCCACAGTTGCCAGGGTACAGTCAGAATCGAAGCAGCTGATTTTGCCTGTTGCCTACTTGTTATGTGCTGTAATTTTTGGCATGTTCTCTTTGGTTTATTACTTTTGGCTGCGAAAGCACTGAACCGACACAAGACCTGATAGTCATTGCTTTGACAAAGCGGTCAGCAAGGATGGGTTCATTGGCCAGTGCTTCATAACATTATTACGTCATGATGTACTGACGATCATTTGAAAACCGACGGATGAAGTAAAACTTAAGGATCTGCCATAATTGGGAACAATCCTTCAGAAATTTTTCTTCCAGCATGCTCTGCACTTGACCCACAGTTCCAATCCAGCGCATATCAAAAGGTCGTCTTAATTATTGCATAAATTTTTTTTAAAACTGATCAAAGATACTCGACAGATATTCTGTCAGTATTTACAAAGTTGTGCATTAACAGCAAATTATATGTTCCTTCCCGTATTTATCTTTAATAAAACGCAATATGTATTGTTCACATATATTGTTGTTGATGTATTCATTAGTTCAAACAACTTTGAAAGCATTTTTGTCGAATTCTTGGCTCGACTAATAAATGATCATGTTTACAGTAAAAGAAAACAGTAAATTTATCATGTTTGAATTCATGGCCATCTTGATGCTTTAGGAGGGCGCCTTGATATCCAGTTTGATTTTTCATTTCATTGTCAACAATGTGTTATTTTTGAACTTTGCATTCAGTTGGGTCACGATAAATAATTTTGGTGCCTTTTACTAGTGTACTCATTTATTTATCTCATTTATCTAAATGAAGCGCAACTGATCAAACTGGGACAGGAATTCGCGATCTCCGACTGCAAATACGGTTCTGGCGATCGCGTTGCCCTGACCTGCATGAAACAGCTGTTACCGCGGCTCAGACGCGTGATAGTTATCCACAGCGTAAACTGTAATCAGTTCTTTGCAGCCCTTTCAACTTGCATTCTCAGGAAAGCATGATCTATTTCCATGACAAATCAATCAAGTCACCGCTTCAGCCGTTTAGTCGTCTGCTATCATTTTGAGTTGATTTTCTCCCTGCAAGATTTTGAATCTTCACTTTCTCGTAGGATGACATAAAGTTGAACTCTGCAACTGCATCTTTAAACGATAGGTTGTTGTCTTGTTCGAATCATGCGCAAGTTAACCTATAACGCAACGTCTGCGATTTCACAGTTGCCGATCGGTAATTACAATCACTTTAAAGAAAGTTTGCTACCTCAAAGCAGAATAAAGAGGGTGCCAAAAAGTGGCCATGCTTGAAATAACCGTAGTGGAACTGAGAGGTAATGCTTGGCAGTAATCCCAGTGTCATGATCATGGTTACCTCGCTGATAGGGTATCTGATTGATTATGGAAAACAGTTAGAATTTTGCATGATTAATGTCACTTTCATTTTTATTAAAGAAATAAACGAGCACGATTTTGTGGAAAAGAAATGGGTAATTAGAATTGTACCGGTCATTGAGCTGTAGACATTGCCGTCAAAAGTCTGGTATTCCAGAATGATGACATCATAAAGGAGATCAGCGCCGCACCCTAAGCTTCATTAAAAGGATGTTACGTATTATGAAGTGAAGGGGTGTTGGATATTCCAGCCAATACAAACTTCAACTTATCTTCTTTATTCGTATGTCGCTGTGAAGGGACCGAATCAGGCAGTAAAAATTTCACCGTTCTAATCATTCAATGTCTCTTCAACAACAGCTGCTTAGTGATCAAGTCAAAGACAGCTTCAATGTTCCGGTAATGAACATTCAATGGCTTTGCAAACTCTGTGCAGTTCAGATATTATGTGGAAACTAGAGTTACGTCGAAGATTTTTAAGTGAATCTAGCAGGGATTTAGCCAGGTATTCTAAACTAACATAATTATGTGGAGAGAAAGACAGAAATAACTATAAATCTGAAGCTGCCTTAAATTTTGTAAAGAAACACACAGTAAAACAGATCAGATCTCTCTTCAGAATGAATATTTTACACAAAAAACAAGCCATAGGATCATGGATGCTGTTATTATTCAAAGATCATATCAACATAACGCGCAGTTGATATTTACTGATATATTTACATCACCGTTAAGTATTGATAAATTTCACTGCCATGGTCGCGGAATGAAAACGAGGAGGTAAGCTACATTTTGGAGTGTTATTTTTGCGACTACGACGAAGTTCACAAGGAAGCGCATAATCTTTCCAAGTGTCGTGGATTGTGCCCGCTAAGATGCACCACTTCCTGTTTTCCTTCGTCAGTTTTAGCTAAAATTAAAAATTAGAAATAAAAAGAATTAGAAATGTGTAACAACAAAACAATATACCTTCTTCATTCTGAATCCATTTTCGTTCTATGTAGTAATCAACACAACTAAACGCTTCAGTGTTTGTATACTTTGGCAGTTCGATAGGAATAAATGGATCGAGCCATTCGAAACCCTGCAATAATACAATAGAAGACAACAACGTGCTCTTAAACATTAGTATACCTCTTTGCCCAGTAAATAATACGGCATATACGGCGGTCGAGTATACCAGAGAAACTCCCGTTCATCTACGGTTAAGATAATAATCCCATTGTTCTTAAAAAAATTTTCTTTCATTCTTAACACATCGCTACATTTAATTACATAATCAATCAGTCGCACATCAGACAAAAAAGGTTTTCTGCGACTGAACAAAAGCCATTAAAACATGCAGATAAGCTCCATGGGAACGACGTTGTCACTGGAACGTTACATCTAGAAACTAGGTCATCTCATTCAGAGGGAAGGCGCAGGAGCAAGTAGATGACAGCTAGCTTAATTGATAAAGCCGCAGGATTCCGATAGGACATAGTTGACTCTTGTCACGGAAACGCCATGGGTCTGGAATTCCGAACATTTCTAGACGGAAGCTATTCTACCAGGTATTAGTTCCGCGCTAAAGCCAAGATTGGTATTCTAGTAGAACTTAACCTGGCTGACAGAATCCTGAATAGAAGCCTGTCGGCGAAAGAGTGGCAATCACACGGATGAAGCTACAACAGGCTAAAGCTTTGACCTTGTTACAGGTCTATGGGCTCAATTCAGAGGGAGAATATGAGTCATTCATTGAGGGAGCGGAACGTGCTTAGCATGAAGTGTCGAGTAGGAGTACCTGACTCTCATGAGCGATTTCAATGCGCATGTCGGAGCAGACACTGAGAAGTGGAAATACGCGATGAAAAGAACGGTCCTAATTGACATCAACAACAAAGGCATGGACTTGTGACGGTTTTGTGCAGAAAACGGACTGTGTGTTATGAACAGTTTCTTCGAGCATTGAAGCGTGTATTATTATACCAGGCATAGGAAATCTTTGCAAAAAAGTCGATGATCATATCTGATAACTATATCATCTAACTTAGTGTTACTGTAATAAGCGTTCGCGTTAAAAGAAGCACAAATATGTCAAGCAATCAACAATTTGTTCTTGGCACCTTCTGCTGTGCATGATGGAGAATCATGCGAAGACCCAGCGGCAGAAGCAACCACGGAATCAAATGGGAAACATTATATTCTACGTATTACAAGACAAATCTTGCTAAAAATATCGCATGACAGTTTGAAAAAAAAAAGATCATTGTTCTAACCAGTTCAGTGAAGAGTTGGAATCCAATCTCAAGAAGGTAAACAAGGAATTCTGGCAGACAATCAACCGCCTTCGAGATGAAAATAAATGCAGTCTAAGAGTCTTGAAAAACAAGTCCAAATGCCCTTATACCAAGAATGGGAACATACTTCGGCGAAGAAGAGAAAACTTTGAGGTACTGCTTGACCGCAAGCAACCACTGACTCCCCCGAAAAGCAGGAGGCAATGATAATAGTCATTCAGCAGATGAAGTAACGGAAGCTGTAAAAATCTTGAAAAATAGCAAGGCTGCTAGAATTGATGAAATTCGCCCTAAAATGCTTAAAACTTCAAGCAAATTACAATGGTTACGGGAAAGACACCAACAGACTGTAGAATGGGGGGGGGGGGTATAGCACCTCTGTTCAAGAAGGAAGATCATAGGGAGTGCTCCACTTATG